GGCAATAGACTCTAGACATAGGACATAGGATTCAGATGAATTCAGGTTTGAGCAGCGGTGGGCACTTAGTTTGCCAGCCTCTTCCGTTCAGGGTCACCAACTGACCCAACACTACTTAGAGGTCGCACACCCAGAAGTGGCGCACCCCGACCCTTGGTGGTTGACCTTTGACCCGCCTAGAGATAGACCCTACACATGCGTTTCCATTTCACCGTGAAAACGATGTTGTCCGCATGGACCCCACATAGTCTTCGGGTAGGACGCTCCCCTTGGATCTCGTTCTCTTGTGTAGTCATGAGAAACGTCAACAAAACGCGCACGTCACTCTTCGCCTTCAGAATGTCGGGTCGTTGCAGTAAGTCGTTGCACCTTTTTGTTTGTTTTGGCCCACCATGCAGGAAAACCTGTTTAGCACCATATTGACTGTAACAGGATGCCCCCACCCTCTTACGTGGCGCATCGCCAATCCCGGCCTTGTTGGCATTCCCGTCCCGCTAAACGAGCGTCCTGGAGTCAAACACGATGTGGAGTCAGAAGCGGCCGTGTTCACGTTCCGGGATGACGCGGGATGACGGTCCAGGGAATTCGTGTGTTTGGTTTAAAGAAATGCCCAACTCTGACACTGTATGCAATATTTGTCTAGGTTTTGGTGGTTCAGGGGTCAATGTATGTTCCATTCATAGAGTGTCATGGTTCATGAACAGTCAACCGCTCATTCGCCATGTTCTGCACCTGTTCTCAGCGGTCAGTTGTGTCCAAAGTCCAAAATCGTCCAATAAAGGTGAAATCGCATATATCTCCCGAGGCCTGAACTGGGTGGTATCCTTCAACATGCTTCAACCACTTCCTCGAAACAGCACCGCCAACAAAACACACAGTTGGGGCATGTTGCGTGCACGACAATCCTTTTTTCCAAGTTACCCCGGTTTGGTGAAGCCTCTCACCACAGCTCTCACCAGAGCAACCCCAGAAAATGACGGGTCTGCTCGCACGTACGGGTCGGCTTGGGACTTGGGACCAACCTCTTCCAAGCCTTCAGCTTTCCCAAGTTGGTCCCAAGTTGGTCCCAAGTTCTTCCTTGCGACCCAACTGAACGGGGCAGGGGGTTGCCCTCTTCAGCGTCCGGGGCTGTACTTGGCTGCCCCGTCCGTCCGGGGCCGGGCCATCCGCACCTCCAGGCGGTCATGGGGCCGAAGTCGCCGGTGGTGTCGGGCGCGAGCGGACGAGCCAAGACCAGCTGCAGCGACCCAGGTCAGCGACCCAGTCGTGGCCAACTCAAAACGAAAAGCCCGGATGCCGCAGCAAGGTTGACATGACACATCATGCATCAAAACGGACAGAACGTGTACGTCAATTCTCAGTAGCATGTGGCTAGATTGCCTGAAGACCTAGTTGTGCGATGAGTTGCTTCAACTCTGCTGTTGTCCCTACCTCTTCACGGAAGAAACCTCTGCACCACCTGAAATTGATAAAAACAAAAACAACATAAAACAACAACGTTATCTAAACATATATCGTGCACATCACAAGCTGGTCTAGCATGGATTACTTTAGTCATTCAAAAGCAAGTACTTGTGGCTGTTTTCTGTTCAAGGCCCCCACAGAAGCAGCTTCCAGCTTCAACGACTCTCGGACCTGCTCAACCGGAGATTTCCGTCACAGGCTAAGTGGACCAAACGATGACCAGAAGTCAAAACCGGGAAGCATGTTGGGACGATTCCCTGCTGGCATGATGGGACGATTTCCCAACATGCAACTGGGAAGCATGCTGAGTTTGGATGATGAAATCCCCATGGAACTCACGAAATTCCTGGCCAAACTTAGATGGGAATGAATGGCTCTGACTTCTTCAACTTCCTATGGTCCCCATATGTCTCCATACGCTTCCCAGATCACGACTTTCATGGTCTCCCTTGTCGCTCACCTCTTGCCGCGCCGTGGTCTCCCCTCGCTTCTCTCGCTCGTTCTCTCACGACTCGGATCGCGATCCTCCACCGAGAGGACTCAGATCGCGCCTTACACCGTTGGGGGAACTGTGGAGAGCTCGTCGCCTCCATCTCCTTCTCGTTGGTCCTTGGCACGCCCGGGATGCCGTAACCCGTACACGAACCATGCCAAGAGAGGTATCCAGTGACCGTCCATAGGACCCGAAACCTGGGGTATCGAACTGGGTTCGTCGCACGTTCGGATCCTTCGACCTCTGCTGGAGCTGGGACCTTTGGAGACTCTGGACTTGGACTCATTCAATGAGTCAATCAAGCACATCTACCAGGACCCACAAGGGGTGGTCAATGGACACCCCTTAACATCTAAGGGGCTATCAATAGAAGCCTCATGAAGCCCCTTAGGGTGTCCTGGTAGTCTTACTTGTGTGGTATTCGTCTCTTACATCGGCCCCCTTTTGGAGGACTGTAAAGACTGAAGCACCAAGGCCAGTGCCCCTAGTAGCTTCTTGTTACTACCAGTAAGGCACTTGTTACTAGAAGCGATGCACTTGTTACTAGTAGTAGCTTCTTGTTACTAGTAGCGATGCCAGGAGCCCCTAGTCATTGGCTTTAATGTGTGGTAGGAAAACCCTATGTAGCTTGCGACGCTGTTTCCAAGCCTGTCTTGTTTAGTTCTAGTCTTCAGGACAAAAGCTACGCTACAGCATGCTACAGCTATCTTCTCTGTCCAAACTCTTCCGGCTACAAGTTTGGAAGTTACGTCTTCCATCATCTTCCACATCACAAATGGGGTACCTACCTCTGTCAAAGACTTTTGGGCATTGCCAGAAATATGGACCCACATGAGGCTAAAAATCGAGGGATTGAGTCTGCTTTCAGATCCAAGTCTTGGGCCTTTTGCCCTATAAGGCTTGGGATGTTCAGAAATCCGAATCCGAACATTGGTCCCACTCTCACGCTAGAACCTCCAACTGATCCAGGTCTGGATATGAAGGCTTTGGTTTGGCATTCCCCAATCTACCAGAGGCTGGCTGGGCTGTTGCATCCTTCGATACACACCCAAAAAAACACCCATTCGCTGAATGTGTTTTGTGTCTTCACGGCAGTGGATCATCTTGGAGGTTGCTCAGCCTGGATTGGGATCTCAAGTCATCGTTTCGTGAGAAAATAACCAAGAACCTGCATGACAAAGCATGTCACTTGTTTTCTGCCCTGTCACCGGCGAAGTCCTCTGGCGACCGACGTCGTTTCGTCCGGCCGAACGCGGATCGCCGACGCACGGCGGTCGCACTTTTGTCCGCCCAACGAAGCACTGCGGTCGACGATGGCCGGACGTAGACGGCGTGTGGCGGCCTGCGGGACAGCTTTCGGTTCGAAGTGTTGCTGGCTCAGTCGCTCACAAATGCCAGACTCAGAATACCATGGAACGGGAATGGGACACAGAATGACCACTTTGTATGGACCACTTAAGGATACTTACGGTAAAGAAAGGGAACTTTTTGACCATCCTTCCCATGTTTAAAGTACAGCGCCACTATGCTAGTACATAGCTCCGGGTCGTTCTACCTGAGAGGCTGTGACCCTCACCCCTTCGGGGCTGAAGCCATGTGGTTCCGTGGTGCTCTGAGTTTTGATACCAACGATGTGAGAAGACCTAGTCTTCTTATAGTGCTAAAGCATTTTCTCCCCGACACCACAAAAGCATCAAAAAGTGAAGCACATCAACTCAGTTCTGGCTCTGACTGCCATTTGACGCATACATATGCATGTGCTTGATACATCCTTCATTACACCATCTCACACAAGTATATGCCATTGACCTTTAATCTGAAAGTTCCCCATCGCTGAATTCCAGCTTTGCCGTCGATGATTCAGCCATGATCCTCCCGCTGGTTGCCGACTTGACCCCACAGACTTGGATCCAACGACTGCCAAACGTCGCACAGCCTCATTTTGAGAACGTCTGGCTGCGCGACAGGTCCAAAACCATCAAGACCGGGCCTGGACTGGTCGTGTTGCCGTTGGCCGGACCAATCTGTCTCCACATTGTTGCGAACTGACAGAACATTCAAAATAGACACAAAGCTCCTTGAGTCCTTGAGGGGAAAAAACACAACACAACTTTATTCTTAGGTTGGGGCCCCCATTGCTATTAGGCCAACAGGCCAACAGAGCCAGACTCTGGTGAAACAAGAAGCACAGCAAACGGCAATCATCTGCTATAGGACAAAGCCCCTTATCAGGCCGTACATGATATGATCATTCAGGATCAGCCTCCCACGGAATAGACTGCGGGACATTCTCTCCAACACAGCAAAGAAAACACTCATTGGACCGTTGGCATCCACACTCCATTAAAGAGGGAAACTGGCCTCCGCAGTTCTATAACATGGAAAAGGATTGCATAACAACCGCCCGAATCTTAAATCAAATCAGTGATGTTGATCTCAACAATGACGTACATCTTAGGATCACCATCCTTGCGGCTGGCCATCTGCTCAAGGTTCTGCTTCTCTTCTCCACAAAGTCCATCCATCATGTTTCTTGGTGGGGTGTTCCCACATCTTGAAAGTGGCATCCTCTGGCTCATCATCGAGCCTGAAACAACCACTGCCATCCGCTATTCATGGCCTCCTACTTTGGATCGTCACGAAGCCTGGAACGACCACTATAGGGAGCCAGCTTCACTTCACTCACTTCAGAAGTCCATTTTGCAGTCACATGGTTCCATTCAATTTGCACCCTTCTTGTCTTGCGGTCTACTTCGGTGGACCAAGTTCATCCCTCCACAAGCCGCGCGTCTTTGGACCCTTTTGCCGTTCGGCCGCAGCCGCTCCAGTCGCATCGAAGAGCTGGAAGGGCGCAAGCGCCGCGCAGAGGGCGCGGCGCTGACCTCGACGATGCAAGGCACGTACTGATGTCTATATGATTCCATCCTCCATGGCAACATCATGCACCAGCGGAACTGCCCAACCTAGGGTCGTGGCTTGCATGCCAGGTATTGCCAGCTCTGACTCTTCACGAAGGGCCCAGGCCCGCGACGGGCAAACAGCATCATTCATCATCCACCTGAAGCCTTGGAGAAGAACGGAACAGCATGGAACAGCATTCGATCTTTAGATAGCATAGAGAGGTGAGTCAAGGTCGTGCTGTCCATTTTCAGAAATTTGCTCTCATATATATATATGTATATTAAGATCTATTATATATATCGTCTATTTAATATGTCTGTCATGGAGATGGAACACCGTCCGGGATCTCTCCACTGTCCGCATGCTGTGGGGGAGTATGTTCACATCTACTGCTTCTAGCCAGTTGGATGTTCCCGTTCGTTCCACTGCACGGTCCGTTCCGGTTGGTCAAAGAATATCGAAGAAATGTCTGTCATATTTGTTCTTTAGGTAGTAGATAGATATTATGCTATTACTAATGGTTGGTCTATTAGGATCAATTGTTGGTCTATTAGGATCTATTAAGTCTAATGTTCAATCTTAATAGATCTATAAAGTCTAATCTATTGTGTGTCTCTTGTGGTCCACGATAAGAAAGGTTTGCAAGTGTCCAACGTCAACTTCCTTGCAACTGTCGAAATGCTCAACATGTGTACTAAGTACGCATGACACCAAGAAAACTTGTTTAGGAACAAGCAGCGCGTCAGCCGGCAAGGGCTCCCAAGTGCACAAAGCATCATCTGCAGGATCAGCCACCTGTAGGTCGGCTGGCGTTGAAGGGAGTGGGTTTTTTAGTTTTAAAGTGTCGGAACTTCAGAACTGAAAAAATCACTGCTGGCCGTTCGCATTACTAGAGACCAGTGCTTGAGATCTAAGAGATCCCCAAACCCAGCATGTACCGGACCAGCTCGAGTCTTCACCTTCCCCCCAGTCACAGGAAGGTTCAACGCGTGAAAGGTCAGGCAGTCGGGCGCGTTCTCACAGGCTTTGAAGGGGTTTCCGATCCCTCTTTGGGAGAGGAACATGTATATATATATATATATTGTAATGTCATACAGAGAAAGAGAGAGAGAGAGGTGTTTTGTATCTGCCAGAAGTTGCAGGAATTCGACATAGCATCTGCCATAGGAGTGGGTTTGATGGGGTGGTGATGGTCTTAGGTGCTATGGAGAGATGATACCAAATGAAACAGCAACGCACTTGCAGCTGAGCATCTTGAATACGTCCAACTCCCATGGAATTGGGATCCGATGTGCAAAAACAATACGCACAACAAGGTGGACACTCGCATCAGACTGTGCCAACCCTTGAAATGGGGTTTTGCCAGAATGAGGGCCCAAACCACTGGCTTTGCCTATATAACGGGTTGGTGGTTGAACCGCATCAGAACAAACCCGTCCAAACCACTATCAACACCCTTCCAGAAAAGCAGATTGAGATGATGAGCTCACCAGTTCCGATTCATCTCTTCAGCCTCCCAAATCCCTTCCTTGCCACCACCTAAATAAAACCTCCGGCCTCTGGCATGGCCACAATTTGTCGGTAGGTGAACTGAAAATCGCGAAGCCACCAGCGACTCATGTTCCAATGAAAGCTATAGAGCTGAGGGCAAAGCGCCTGGGCCCCGCTTCAGCGGCGAACAGTTTGAACAGTCCAGTGCACACCTCTGGAGATATCAACTGGACGAGGTTGGAGGACAAAGAGACAATATGAAAATTAACAATGTCATCTTTTTTGGAGGGGTCTGAACTGTCGAAGGCTCCAAAGGACCATGGGAAAATGACCATTGGCTTGTGTCCATTCAAAAAAAGCAAACTTGTTGATGGCCTGGGCGTCTTGAAGGGTGTTTCTGGACCCTCCAAGGGTTGCTGGGCAACTCAGGGGTCTTGTGTGGCAACACGTAAGACTTCAGGTTTGCATCATGCTGGTCTGAGGGGCACCAGGAGACCATTCTCCGAACATGGCTGTGGGTCACCTGGAGACCATTCGATTACTGAGGTCATGGAAGGTTGGTCGCTACATGCTGGAGGGACTCCAAGTGTTGATGAAGGCATGCCCCATCCCGATATATATCACATGTGGGTCAGTTTGTTTGGGCATCGATCGAAAAGAATTGGCGTAAGCCATGACCTGATGAAATAGGCCGAAATCTGGTCGGTCCAGGGGTGGTGTGCGTGTTTGAAGGTGACTCTGATGTAGAATCATCTCTTTGAGCCTAGAATCCCCTACTTTTTGTTCCTAGACTCCTACATCAGCCTTTCTTGGCGAGAAGTAGACCTGAGAAGCTTCTTTGGAGAGCGCAAAACCAGCCACTTCCTGGTGTGCACCGCGATCGGCTGCCAAAGCACTCGAAGTTCACCAATCAACTTGGAGAGTTCATCGTCCATCCTTGGCTGTAATTAAGGAGGTCCGGAGGAAAAGTGCTTTGCCAAAAACGTTTAAACATCAACCCGTGAATGATGCTTTCAAGGACAAAGCTCCAGGGAACAATACCCCCAATGGTATTGAAAACTCCTATGCCTATTCATGATAGGCCGCCTAGACATACATTCTCTGCGAAAAAACGACCCATTGTAGGCCATAACATGTCTTAAGTCAACATGCAACTGTTGCATTCGTTCCAAATGCATCGGCGGTGACCAAGCTTCTAAGATAAACCACTTGTTTCTGAACCGGACCTGATACACTCCGCAACTGCGGCATCCGGAGACCCAAATGGCCATGGTTTCAATTCTATCTGTTTGAAGCTTTGCCACCGTTGTACTGTCTATATGTTGGGGTGTATTCCAATGGGGACTCCTCCCAAAGACCCACTGGAAGGTTCGGAACATCGACCCGTCTACCCATTTTTGCCAGAGGGTCCCCTCCCTATTGGAATACACACCTAGCCTCACACCCATATAAAGAAACTGATTGCAAATTGCAGTCAGTATGCAATGCATGCGGATGGATGGACAGCAGCATGACTGGTCGCTTTCGGCGCAAGAAGTCTGTCATTGCAGGGATGATATCACGCTCGCTTCCTTCCTTGGCTCATGGACAATCGTGGGGCATTTCCGACCGCTCGATTTTGCATCCTGAGTGACTGAGTGAGCATCAAGTCATCTTGTTCGCACATGTTGTCTAGTGAGCTGAATGAGTTTCTCTCTTTTCTGCCCAAATTCCTGTGTGCCGATTTTGGTTGACCGGTCATTGACAGCTGGACCCGGTTTAAAAACGGTCAGCGTGTCCTCGGTCACCGTGACCGCCGGTCTGCGGAGTTGGAGTGCACCACCGGTATGATGGAGTGCGGTGGGCACGGTGTGTCGGGCACTTCCACATGGACGTGCGTCCCCCAAACCAACGACATGTATCAATATTGGATGCACTAAGACACTAAGAATCAGTTCGGAATCCAGGGCATATTGTCCAACAAAAAGGAACGTGATGCATGTTAAAGTTGAAACGGATACGGACTGTTGGACCGAAGATCCCAAGCACCACATTCTAACTCCTGGTCTGATTGAGTGCCTCAGCTACATCGTCCTACTCGAGTCAGGCCACCTGAGTCAGAAGGGTGAACCTCCCCATTAAAACCTTCTTAAGTTGACGATCTTCAAGAACCTTGCAGCTCATCAGAGCATCCAAGTTCATGTCTCACCTTTCTGATGCTCAGACCCCCATTCCCATCCCCCATCGATGGGTTCAAAGTCACCACATCGATCTTTATGAAGGAGACGTCCTGCACAGACAAGGAGGACCGTCGGTTCAACCCAGCAGACCGTGGCTTCAACAGACCTCTACAATCGCTGAACCAGTTGGGTATCAGGATCTTTTCTGGGAGCTTCACGGAGGGATCTATATTATACTACTGTATACTATATTTATATTCGGCTGTAAGCATTCAAGTCTGATTTGGATGAAAGCTCTTTTTCGACGCGAGCTTGAGATGATTGAAATCTGAAAGTGCTTTGCTTGAAGTGGCCCAGCCACGGTGGCCCACGCCACTTGTTCCCCAGGTACCTATCCAAAACTCTATCCAAGGTATACGGTTCCTACCCATCCGCTCGCCAACTCGGCCTCCAACTCGGGAAAGGCATAGAGCAGGTCATTGATTCCGAAGACAGAGCTCAAGATGCCCTCCTGCCGGTCGAAGACGCCGACTTGATCCTGAGAGAAGGTTCCGCCTTTGGTCGAAGCGTGGTCCAACAAAAGATGGGTCAAGATGGGAATCCCGCCATCCACCAGATGTTTGTTTGGGAATCCTATAAAAGGTCCTTAGCTGTTTAATGCTTTTTAAGATTCATTCAGATTCCAAGTACTTGGGCAACGTCCAAATCAGACAATCAAAAGGTCACCAATGGTCAATGGGCTAATTACTGGGCTACTCTACACTACTAGCCTTGTGGAAGCTCCAAGTAACCTCTTCTCATGCGCCCACGACTTTGGGGCGATCGCGGGGTTCCCACCGTCTGGCTGAGAACTCCAAGCGGCTCAGGGCTAAGACGAATACAGAACGAGGTTCATGACCTACCCTAAGCATCCTTGGACCCTGCATGGCAGGGGTCGGACCCGACACCTTCGCAAGGGGCCGGACCTGCCCTCAAACCCTATGTGTTGGTTCGGGCCCTTATTCTTAGGACACGAAAAAGAAACCCTACCGCAAGACGTCTATCCATCATGGGGTCGCGATTAAGTCAAAATCCTTGATAATCTCTTGTGTGTTCTGGTTCTGAAAGTGCAATGAAACCGGATGGGTCTTGCTTGCACGGCATTGTACGAGTATGTGCTAATTGCACACATTGTTTGGTAAGCTTGGTCATTATGGTTTCTTGTCTTCTGAAAGATCTGACAGATCTCTTTGAACATCATTCTTGCATTACCAGTCTATTGAACCAAGTCCACTCACCACCACCTACCCCTACACCCCAAAACAACTTGAAGTTTGGTACCAAGCAAACCGAACATAAACCAACCATCTTGTTCGGTCCATGCAGCTACGCTGCTGCGGAATCGCCACGGTTCGTCATCTGCACCAGGCCCCTCTTGGGTCCCAAGGCTGCTCGCAGCAACGAGAGCCGCGACCGCCTGGCGGGAGAAGCGTTGGGAGAAGAGTCGCGATTCGCATCTTCAGTCTCTTGTGTTTCTCATCCTCCATCCGTAACCAAACATGTTCTCACGTTTTTGGCGTGAAGAATGAGGTTTCTAGGTTGATGTTTCTCCCGGCCGAAAACCACGAAAGGTAGAACATCAAAGAACCCCTGCACTTCTCCATTGAGGAAGGAAACTCTTTCAAGTTCCATCCACATTCTTCTCATCTTCTTCTTATACCACTGGTTGACGGTTCACGGTGGGGTCAGACGGGACGTCCTCGTGGGGTTCTGCGCCACATGCAAAAGGAGCTCCTCGAAGGCTCGATCTCCGGGCTCCAGCACCACCACCTCGAAGTCCGGTGCTTGAAAACATCTGGGGTGTAGAGCTATATCACCTACAGTGATATATAGAATCACTTGCACACCTGTAACAATGTTTTATAGAGCAATATATGGCTGGGCCAGACCCCCAGGTCTTGACTCACAGCCACATGGGACACGACAGGACGCGACACGATGGCGCACCGGCCGGGGTATTGATCAGCGGAACCGCTTGTTGGTTGGGAGTTCTTTTGGGGAGCAAGAAGCTACTAGGGGCTCCTGGCATCACTACTAGGAGCATGGACGCTACTAGGGGCTCCTGGCCTTACTACTAGGAGCAATGTTCGCTATTAGGAATCAATCAAACACCCCATGGCGTGGGCCTATCGACCTTGTTGACCAAAAGTATCCAAAAGGCTTGGCCGACCTTTGGCACAAGAAACAAACTGTTTATACGATGCAAAACCAGAACAAGAACAACACCGGGCTTAGCCCGAGCGGCTCCAACTAATCCTCAAATTTGTCTGAGATGACTTATTCAATGAATCCCACCTTAATTGCATATATAATTTCTGAAGTGGCTTCCGGGAAATCCACCATATTCATCCTCTTCAGGGTTCTTGGCATCTCCCTCTCTCAGCTCCTCCGGCTCCTCCATCTCATCCACCGCGAACATCCCGGCCTTCCGTGCCCGCTCAGCCAGCCACAAGGCGGTGCTGCCGATCCACCCGCCCGCGTCCAAGACCACCGCGCCCGGCCTAGGCGAGACGCGACGCCGATGGTGGGGGGCCGACTCGTTCGGAATATGGCCTTAAAACTTTGAATTTGCTGATTATAATTGCTTGATGCCCGTTTTTTTTGGAGGTGATGTCATTAAGGTTTTCGGGTTCAATTGATCCATCCATTCATCCATCTTCCCAGTTTCTATGTTCTTGTTGAGTCTTTCAGATGTTCTTCTGACAGTTCCAGGGTTTGTTCCCGAGTTTGATCCATCCCGGTTTCAATATGGCCAGTTTTGTGGATTTGTTCGAGATTCCGAGAGCACCCTAGTCTGATACACCCTATGGCTGTAATGAGCATCACTTGGCAAAAATTATGCGGGGATAGACTATGATGTCGCCGAACACATGCTTTGTGGAGCGAATCGAACGTGATCAAGCTATGCAGTGGAACTGCTTGGATTGGACACGCTCCATATATAGCTTCATCGCTGTTTCTTGATTGTTCGACTCTGCCTCATTGAAACAAACACTCACACACTCACGACAAATGTGGGCCGTCTTACCCTAGACCAGGAGCCAACCACTTCAAGGACATAGACGTAGATGGTCCAAATTCTAGTAAGAAACATCCTACTGGACTAGAACCAACATGAACCAACTGTTGGGAAGCATTATATAAGGCCTCCGGAACCATCAATATTAGCCCAGCTTCCGAGAACCTCCGAAAATAACGGAATTCGCGGCAAAGGCTCTGGTCAGATCCAACTAAGTATCATGATGTGGTTTGGTTATTTTGAATAGAATAACCCGCCAACAAATGGGTTTGGGATGGTTTTAGTATGGGGTGTTGGATGGTTTTGGTACTTGTTTTGGTCTATTCCCCTTCTTCCAGGGGGTCGAACTGGGAGGGGAGACCATCTTTTCAATATACCCCCGACGGTGTCGCGGTGTCACTTCTCATCGGACGACTCCCCCGCACCTCACAAAGCGTTGGAAGACCCGGAAGGTGTGCATCTCCCAACGTGGGAAGTGCTGCTCCCACCAGAACCTCGGGCTGGGGAACCGCTGAACCATGAACCGCGCACAGCGGGGTGGGTGAAGGGGTGAAGGCTGAGGTGGAGCGAAAAATGGTGGGAAACCCAAGTACAAGGCCTCTTTCACACTGAAGACAGCCATGTACCTGCTGAACTCTCAACTGAATCATCAGGGGCACCACCCTGTGTTCGTTGGCTGAACCCGCTGGAGTCTGATCCTTGCAATCCCATGGTAGCTCATCAAATTCATAGAGCGATCACTGCCATGGAACAGCCATCAACTGCCAAGTCTCCCACCTGGGGCGATCGCCCAAAGTCCAGTGCGGGAGTGTCTTCTTCAAGTCGCTTTAGAAACAAAAGAATATACATACCAGGGCCCCGTCTCATTATATATATATATACTATTGTATTATAGCTCCTTGGAGGTTAAGGGCTATCCATTAACCACCCCTTAGAAGTGGAACAATGATCATTCAAGGGACCATTCTCCACTTCCACGATTATTTCATCAACACACTACTGAAAAAAATGACTAAAAACTTGAGATAGGGGGGGGTGAACGAAAGGTAGCGATTCTTTGAGCAGCGCTTCGCCCATGACGGCGTCACAAACAGCGACGGCGCAGGGGGGATTTGATCCAGGCCCCTCCCCCGGTCGAACAGAATCCCTTCTTACAGTCACCAAATCCTGATTGTAATACATTTTTGCTAAAGCAAGGAGAACTCAGGTAGCTCAAGGTACTTTTCGTGACATGAATATAATATAATATAGTAATAACATTGAATTAAGTAAAAATGACTGGTCAATCGATCAAGGATACCTCAAAACCCGCAGCTCTTCATTTCTTGGTTCAAGAACAGACCTGTTTTAACAGAAGGGTCCTGGCTTAGGGGCATCGAGAAGCATAGAACCAGGATCACCGCACATCCTCGCTGTATCTGCCGCGGGGCGCATGCCGTGAGGTGATGTCGTAACGGATGCTCACACCCGCCTAGTCGCTGAACACAGTCACACAGTCACAGGTGTAGAGGCATCCCCCAACTAGCAGAATGATGTCTTATCCTCAAAAATGGGATCCGACACAAAACGAAACGCGATGCACCTTCGAGCAGGGTGTAAAGCCAAAGTGACAAGCAACTTAATAACAACGCGACTGATATCTGCACTGTATGGTTGTTCTACGTCCCCAGCTTTCTACAGCCCCAGCTTGCGACGACTAACAGAGTGACACATTAATTTGTGGAGTTTGGGCGCGAAGTGCTTAAGTTTGCTTAAGCCTGCGCGCCATCCCTGCGCCCTTTCTTTTTTACATTGCTGCGGAAATGATAAGTTATATAACAAAAACATCGCTGCGGGTTGAGCATTGTCAAACCGAGTCGAACCAGTCCTCATCAAACAGCAAGCTGAGTCCAGTCAGGCATGGCCATGAAATGCCATGAACATCGTGAAAGCAAAAAGAACCAAGATCTCCGTCTTTCTGCAGTCCCCAGGTTTTTGTAATTAGCCAAATCCATCATGGTGTCCTCCCGGTGCCGCCTTCCAAACACACCCAGGCTCGCTTGCTCCACACGTGGTCCCGCTCATGGCCGCCACGACGCTCCGGTTGGACATGTCAAGTTGTTTTTGTTGTTGCGAGGTGTTCAACGGCAACTGCGAGAAAAGAGCCCCAAAACATGGAATGGTGCGGTTCGGATGGCGGTTAAAGCTGTCAGGGAGGCAAAGCCAAGGGTGCAATGAGGTGACAAACAGAGGTGAGAAACACATGCATGACTTTCAAACAAATGACATTTAAAGAGTTGTGAAATGTGAGTGCACAATGTGCAAAGTTACTGGCCTGTTTGGCAGGCCCTGATGCAGTTCACCCTCTTCAACAGCTTGGCCACCATGTCCTTGTGCTTCATCTCACTGCATAACGTTCATCCAACAAAGACAACCACGATGCAAACTTCTCTCGAAACGCTAACCAGGTATTGATTTCAGCTTTCCTTCCATGATCTTTGATCTCCAACTCCAACTGTGGACAATTCAGGATATAGCTTTCAAGTTGTCCTCGGCTACTTCCAGAGTACTTTGAGTTGGACAGGAGGAAGCAGCAGTCCATGCCGTTCTTGAAGAAAAAGACAATTGATCTGAGACCTCGCCGACCGGCCTGATCGTCGATTTAAGGCCCGTCTCACCCGTCTGTGGCTTCGAGCCATACCAAGCTCAAACGCTTCATGTCATTGCTTTTCTTGGACAAGCCATCACCGGCAAAGCCTGCCATAGCCTGCCCCTGTGGCTGCTATTCATCGGAACACATCCAATTACCAGCCACTTTCAGAAGCTGAGGAGGGCAAGAAAAGCAATCGCTCTACTTTGGCAACTCCGTTGCAATCCACAGGCCATGTGCAGGGCGTTGCTCTCAACAATCAAGCTGTGGTTTCTTTGGCTGCGAAGCTGCTCACTGCGAACCGAAGTCCTTCTGCCAGTCCAAATATCCTGAGCCATGTGCAATAGGGCCACAACCTGGTGGAAAATCTCGAATTTTACTATAATATGTATTCATCTGTATTCTGTATACTGATTCCTACTGGATGCTTACTGTGATCCTCACTGAACCATCCACGTGGGGGTTTTGGTCGTAGCTCATGTGGGTGTGCACATCTTGTCTGAAACTTTGCGCATGGCTTGCCAGAGCAGGGGTGCATTGCCCATCAAGGGGCTAGGATGTGACAAGTTCTTCGAGTAGCTTTTGGGGTGTGGGATTTCAAGGCGTTCTCTCTGAAAGAAGAAGGACACTAGTACAGGACACTCTCAAGTTGAATCTGGGACATGAGCAGTTGGTTGGCACCTTGGGATAGCCAAAAGCCAGTAACAACTTAACGTGTGGCCCGATATGTGTTCACCAGAAGAATTGTTCCCCGCTGTTTCCACCGAACCTGTGACAATGGCCACAGATTACCATCAACTCTTCCAGGTGGCGTTGAGTATCGCTGTGCGAGACCTCAGTCAGACGGGCTTTTGGTTTCGCGCGGCGAAAACGACAGACTTCCGGGATGACCCATTTTTAAGGGAAAGCTCCCACTGATTGAGGTGTTTCTGGGGAGAAGTTAATTCTAGGCTGGAGGCCATCGCTACTAGGGTGGAGGCCATCGCTATCAAGGTGGAGGCCATCGCTACTATCATTGGAATCGGCAAACATTGAAGAAGCTCCATTAAATCCCCACTGAAGCTTCTTGATCATGAACACACATACATAGGACTCCTCTCGGTCCAACTGCACGCGGACTTTGGCGAGGTCTCGTTTCGAACGGACAAGGTAGGAGGACAAGTGGGTCTCAGCAATTTCACCTGATTACCTTTGGGGAAGTCTTGCGAGGTTTGGACCGGTGGGAATCATACGGCCAGCATACGGCCAGCACCATGTTTGCTGGAATTATGCGTACGGCGTACATGTTTGCTCAACTGTGCCAAGGGCCAAGCATACGATATTGGCTCAATTTAGAAGGACCAATGTTTCTATGACCAGTTGTTTTGACGTGTCTTATTTGTCACCTCTGATATATACCGACGAACTGCTTGTTTTGCCTCACGACCATCTTCTTTTCTGTTTGACTACCCTCTATACCGTAATACCTGTATCGCAAATGTTTTTTCCGAAGTGGCCGCGGTGGCACAGTGGTTCTAGGGATGCCTCTTAGTAGTGTTGGCTGGCGAGGTCTTTCGGTTTGAGAGGCTGTGGCTGTGTGGGGAGATCGATGGAACTGTTCTACATGCGGGAGGCTGGCTCCACCAAAAGAGAAGTCCGTCTGTGACTGTGTGTTTTGAAGTGGGGGTCTTAGCTGTTTCGGCATGCGTCTCGAAAGGTTTCGAAACAGCTGAACTTGGGATGGCCTGTGGCATCAAACAAGTTATATATGTCACACCGAAATACAAAATCAAAAATCCTCAGTGCGTTTGTCCTGCGCTTGCCAAAATGAGATGCACCTGGCTCATGAAGTCCTAAACAATAAACTGTATCCGAATGACATATGTTAGAGAGAACAGAAAAAGAAACAAAAGGAATCGAGGGCTTGAAGCTAATAAGGCCTATATTTACTCTTTGTCTCCACATCCCGCCCTTCAAAGGCATGTCCAGAGCAGTTTCTCTCGCCAAGAAGCGGAGGGTTGCACACCTCAAGCGGTCGGGCTCTGGGTCTGAGAGAAAGTAAACTGGTTGCAGTTTCAAAACATGGCAGCACATATATCCCGCTGGGCTGACAACTGCACCTGCCTTTTTGCGTAGTTTTATGTCGCCAATCTTGAACTGGAGAGTTCAAAAAGTTGTTCAAACAGTTGACTTCCAAAAAAGAGCCTTGCAAGTCTCATTTACATTGTGTTTCATTCAAATTCGCACTTCGCTGCAGCGAAATATGCTTTTTCATCCAAATTCATCCCTTAAAAGTACTGTCTTTTTTGAAGGATTCAAGGGTATTTTACTATTTCGCTACAGCGAAACGAGAATTTGAAAAGCTCTAGTCAAGCATAGTTGTCGGACATTCTTTTCAGTCAGCGTGAAACGATGTGTGAAACTGTGTGTTCTGTACAAAGCATCAGATTTTTGCTTGTGTTTTCCCACCTCTAACAGTACCTTTGCAAACACCTTAAGATTTGCGGGTTGACCTCACCATTGGACGTTGACGTGTGCACAAAGGTGGGAATTGCCATCTTTGCACGAGCCCAAAACCCATCGGTGGAACCAGTGTTCACATCCAAACTTAGTCCACCACAAAAGAGACAGTAGAGATAAGTGTTGATCTAGAAGATCTACGTGTAAAACCCAGCGGCCATCGATGCACGTAATGGACAACACTTCGGCCACCAGGTTTGCGACAGAGAGTCTAGAAAGTTAGGGTCAACCCGAAACCACTGCTGTAGATGACCGTCTGAACACTCAACATCTTTGAAGCCGGAAAAACGAAGTAACAAGATGTACACTAGGCAGACAGCGCCGGAACCACGTCCGCCAAAAGAAAAAATAAGTTGAACCATCAGGTAACCATCAACAGGAGCAAACCATCGTAGACGCTCACGAAAAGAAAAAGGAGCATTGCCGCATTGCCAAGAAAAAATCACGAGCATTTGGCACAATGAAAAGAGATGATGACGAGGCGCATGATGCAACAGAATGCATGATGTAAAGATGCGTATGTCATTAACCCCCCACCCAACCCCCCCCCACCCAATGGTCGAAGATGCTCCTGACACGCATGATGAGAGAAGCATGAAAATTTAGATAAGGCGGACAAAAGTCGATAAGATTATTGGGTGATATTAAAGGCAAAAATGAACATTCGCAAAGAGCGAGCACAAACATCTGAAGCACAAGGTAATTTCAACAAAAAAGACACAAAGGCAACATGAACATGCAATGCAATATGATGTTGCCATGGAGGATACATGAGAAAACGCTGCTATTTACAGTAAAAATGGAGGAAACATGAGAAACCGCTGCTATTTACAGTTAAAAAAAGTCCCGACTTTCACGCAATGTGTGACAACATCAAAGACATGATTAGTGTTTCGATTAAATATATATATATATATAAAGTGCACGGCTACTAGCGCGGTCCTCAGCCCTCTGGTACATACATGTATGATCATGTATACATATATATATATGCACGTATTTCTATGTGTGTTGTGTGTATATATATATACATTTACCAACAAACATACACAGGCGCTCCGTTCGGCTCATGTTTAACCCACATGGTGTTGGCCCAAACCAACTCCTTCCCCATGTCGAATTTGCCGAACGAAATGCAATTATCAACATATCCCTGGTTTCGCTCACGGCACTGCGACGCCACGCCACTATAGGGTGTTGCCCGAGTGGCGGTGGATCGCATCTTCAAAGTCGGACATGGACACTGACACGTTCTCCATGCTCAGCTTGCCTCAAAGCTCAGGTCCCAAACAGCGACAGGCAGGCTGGTGTAGATGGTTGGCGAAAACCATGCCAACCGGGTGTCTTGCGCCAAAGAGAAAGGTTCAACAAGAACCACAGTTATACCTATAATACTATATATATGTCTATACATGTCTATAATATGATATCATATAATACAATATAAATTAATATAATAAATATAGTTGCCATCGACTGGACTCTATACAGAAGTTTCGTAGATCCGAGGCTTGTCCCAACATCTGCACCATGTTTACTGTATTTGCAAATTGGTCTGGTTCTAAGGAAGGAAGAACTCCCAGCGTCCAAAAACCCTGATTCTTGGTTCGAGATGCACAAGCTTAAAAACAACTCTAAAAGTCTCTAAAAAGGTTGGTCAAATCTTTAGACATCCCCTGAACCGGGGCTTTGAATCCTGGCAACTAAATTCACATCCCACTCAGTCATCCATCGTCTACCTGCTATTGGTTCAAGGGCGATAAGTGTTTCTGACCTATCATATAAAACACTGATTAACCTATAGGGTCTCAAGTGCTTCTTCGGTTGTTCGATATTGTTCGATACTTTTCGTCCAATTGGCAGTGGCACGTGACATTTCGTCCAAAACGAAACCGTTCTTCTCCGGGCCCAGCCAGCCTTCTGCCCGCAGCTCCACTAGCTCGCTGGGAGAAAGACCTTCCACCAGACCTTCCACGCTTTCGCGAAGGGAATTGAATTCGAAGGAGTTTGCATGACCCACTGCATCAGTATCCCTAACAGCTATGGTTGCTGGACGTCACCAGGAGCGAGTGAAGTCGCACCGGAAAACGATGCGACGAAGGCGGCCCGCACCCGAGTGGAGGTGGGGTGGGCGGTTGGCCCAGAGAGGGCCCGAGGTGGAAACACCTTTGATCTGTGTTCTTGTTTTCTTCCTTCACCCAGGGGGTTCCCACCCACTTCCATATGCACATGTTTTCGTGTCGCGACCTCCCCTTCGCACCGGACCGCTCGCCGGTCGCACCGGTCGCCAGGGCACGGCGCATGGGGTTCATGGATGCTTCGCGGCACACCAGCTGCACCTGGGATGTCACCAACAGCCACCAAATGGATGCAGAGTCGTCCAAGCAAGCGGATCCACGCGGACAGTGAAGGGAAGCAAAGCAGCTTATGTGGAAAACTGATCTGTCACATTGTTCATCAAAATACATTTCACGGGATTGGTTTGGACATGATGCCCCAATGGATCTCGATCTGGGCCGCCCCACATCGGCGCCGCTGTACCGCTCCAGGCGCGTTGCCAGCCTTTCCATTTGCGCAACAACAAAGGGAGAGTTGGAGCAAACACCTGGTAATACCTGCATAGTCCAATTTGGGATATGATAGAGAGAATATGAGAGAATCATGAACCCAATTTAGAGGATCTTAGCTTTTCTGGCTGTCCAAGACGACGAGGCCCCAAGACAGGGCAGGAGGGGTGGCATCCGATCGTCTGGCCCGGACGAAGGGTACGTTCTAACCCACTGGGAATCGCCCGCGGAAAGGGTTCTAGAAGCCCCAGAGCCAACGTCTTGGCTTATACAGCGGGTTCAGAGTAGATGGCACAAGCATCAATAGGTGGTGTAGATGGACAACCCATCTGTCTAAGGCATCTTCGGGTGCCAGTGCCATCGAACCTCTGAAACTGACATAATTAAACTGTAGTTGGTCTTTAGATAACGCCCCAAGAGCTCTCAGGAAAGTGATTCTGAAACCTCCTGAGCATGGCAGGTTCATCCCTGCTACGAGGTTTTCTGTGCTTGGCCCAAGGATGGATTTTGTTCCAGCTCAGCAGCAATAATTGTGGGATAGCAGTGAGATTGATACACTCTTGGGACTAACATGGAAGTGGAACATGGATGAACCTGGCGCCTTGGAAGACCATTTCTACAAGCAGGGGGTTGTACTTCCACGTTTCTTCCAGGGAGAGTATCCTCCATCGCAATGGAAAATGTGCTTGTATTTGATCCGATGCACTCAGTAGTCTAAGGGTTGAGTCTTTCATCCCAATTATACCTTGCCACTGACAAAGTGTAAATCGACAAAATCCTGAACCACCAAGGATGCAGAGAATATCCCGCTACGCTCTAATTCTGAGTGTTTTGAGGTTTTTGGTCTCCAGCTAAATATGAACCATCCCCATAAGCAATTCATGTTGAAGACATCCCTGCGCATACCGAACGAACGTGTGTGGTCGCACCATGCCACCAATGAAAGACCTTGATCATTAGCTTCCTTGAAACAGTACGGAGCTACGACCTGAAATCACAAGGAGAACTGAACTGCAAAGGAGTTCAAAATTGCAGTTCATCCGTTTAGGAACATGTTCTTTTGCCCTGAAATAACCTTTTGCAGTTCAGTTCTCCTCGACATGACTCTTTTTAAATCCAAACTCCACGCACTGGAGGCGGCGCTCGCTTTTGGAGGGCTTCATGGAGGTTGTTCGAACCAGCAGGTCCAGGTGTCAGGTCTCTTCGGAAGCCAACGGAAACAGGGAGGGAATCTTTTATTGGTATTCTTTTAAAACAAAAAAGATCTGAACCCCTACAGTTAGTGAACAATCCAAATTTGGTGTTAACCCTGTCTGAAGCACTAGAAAAATAAATAAATACATACCAAGCAGCTGTGCGAGGTCCACGTCCGACAAATCAATCTCCTGTCGCAACATCTGTGCACCGTGACCCGCTAAGGCGCACACAAGGAGACACCAGATTGAATAACTACAAGAATATACAACAGAATATAGTTCCTATTAGTTCCTAAATGTTCCTAATACTAATAACTAGTCAACCTCTCCTTGTTGGAGCAGTCGATGTTGATCATCCTGTTGTCACCAAGACCGGCTTGACATGTTCCCCGCCTTGAGAAAATGCTCCAACATCCGATGCCGCGCATTCTCATCTGGCAAAGGGATGTAGATCCTACGAGAGAGCCCCCGAACATTCGTGCCGGATGAACCCATCTAAACCTTACAAGTCAGTACAGGTGCCTTGCCCCAACAATCAGACCACTGCCACATGATGCTTCTTATGATTATGATTGATTATGTGGCTTGAGCATCTCTGAATCATGGTCAGCTTCATCAACTTCCATGTTTGGCTGAGGAAATCTGAGAAGGCATCTCTTGTGCGCAGCCAAAAGCTGGTGAGTTTGGCGGCTGGCCGCCTAGGTTTTCTTTTCCTGTACACAGTCAGGGATGCCAAAGCTGTCACATCACATCGAACCAGTTGATGAATGGGCTCAATCTTTTGTGGACATGGGCCAGCATCTTTTTCTTTCGCTGACCCAAACCCCCAAGGCTCTTATTTAGCTCGGGTTTCCAAGTGTTTACATGGGGCTTTGTTAAAAATAGTCTGGCTGGAGGGTTGAGCCAGGAAGTGGCTTGTGGAATTTCCTCCAACCTGGTCATTCTGTCTCTCCACAGAACCCAAAGCAGCTTGTCGGGTGTCCACATGATGTCTTAACTTTACTATCCCCATGGAATTGCTGTGACAACCACCAAAAGAATCCAAACGGTTAAACGGTTTAGTCTCCGGAGAAAATGGTCTTCCAGAGTGGAGCCCGTGCTTGTTTTGCGGCCGCCGCTTGAAGTCGACAAGGATTCTTGTCACACCCAAAAGAAACAAGAAGATGAAGATGAACCTTAAACAGAAGCAATTTGAATGTAAAAGCTCAACTTATAACATCTACACTAACCCTGCAGCAACGGCAAAGAGACGACAAACAAAGCTTCCGGTTTCCCCAAATGCAAACCGCAACATAGGCCTCCCCGGTTTCCGAAAAAAGAACGCGACAAAGCGCATCAAACCTCGCGCTGGGGTCCTCTTCTCCAAGCGGCGGCGGAGGGCCTCATCCAGGTCCCAGGGCGCGTTGCTGGTCGCCAGAACGAAGAGGTGTCTGAGCGGCGAGTTCGGAATCTGTGAATGTCCTGCAAAAATGAAGGCTACCCATGGGTGCCCATGTACGTTCCCATGTACTTCCCATGTACTGGTATTTGATATGAGGACGTCCACTGGTTTCAGGGATGGTGCTACATGAAGTGAATGGACAGGCTGGGGGCAGTTCAAAGTACATTCACAAGCCTGGCATCGCTGGGAGAGCACGTTTTGACGACCCTGATGCTTAACTTGCAGAACCATAGGCCACATCAACGATAGAAGCCTAAGCCAAGATCATAGCGTAATGTGTTCATACTTGCAGGCAATCTTGGAGAATTGATAGACATATGACATATAAATACACATACAGTAGATAGACCAAACATCACATCTCCTTGGCAATCACCTAGCCCAAGTCCAGGAAAGAGCTCTCAAAGGAACAAACACAGGGGGGGAACATTCAATTACAGCATGTCATGAAGTAAAGATGTCATGAGATGTCTATTTCTCTGGCCTTTCCCCCCCGTATCCCTGTATAGGCTATTTGGTGGTTGGAACCTGTGTTTTCTGGTCCAAACCGTGGGACCTGGACCCAGGTTGACCTAGGTTGACCTAGGTCATCAACCCAATCAGACTACGCAGACGATGTCAACCTATCATGATTTGAGGGTTGACACACATCATATATATATATACACATCACACATCTGTGTGTTTGTGCTTTCTATTTATTACCTTTTTTCCGGCGCCAAATTTCTATGCATTACTTTTGCTGGCACCAATATCTAAACATAGATAGGGCCGTGGATTTAAACTAAAAGGGACCTCTGAAAAAAACAGCGGCGCCTCTTATGCTTTGCGTCAGTGGTGGCAGGATACCCTCATCAAATACATTCAAACTATATGTCATATATATTATTTCATCCTACTGCCGCACATCACTACCCATCATGGAATCCAGGCGTTTCACAAGTACTTCAACTGCCCAAGTTGAGAACTCCGCCACAGGCGCCCATTCTGCTCGCCGGCATCACTCAGCCTGAGCCAAGCGGGATTGGGATGAGTCGGAGCGTCAAGGCGCCTCGATGGATTCACAGCATGCCACAGCATGTCACAGCCAGTATCCTTGAGGTACCCAATATCCTGCAAACACATCAGTGTATGTAAATTGGTTCAGGTGAAAAAGGATTGTGTCCATGAACGGTAAATATAGGCTTCTCCAACGGAAGAGACGTCAACTCAGTTTTGTTTTTCACGTTCGTGCTGAAGTTCGTGAACAAACAGCTGAAGCAGGAGCGCCTTATGAATAGGCTGAATATTCACCGGGCCAGTGGAACATGGTGCTGAAGGTATCTCCAACCTCTCCGGGGCCCCACATTGCCGCTCACATGTTCAATCACCGTGCGCAGGACCCTTGGATTCGCCAACTTCCGCGTCTCATCACAGCAACACTCTTGACATTCTTCTCACCAAAAAAAACCTTTGCACTCCACCCGGTCACCCTAATGTTGTCCTTGGATTAATAAAGTACCCCAGAATAGTGACTGTTTTTTCCTGCACAGATTAATAAAGGCCCCCAGAATAATGTCTGTTTTTGGGGGGAGGGGTAGTTGTAGTGGAATATGTTTTATTGTTATAGTTTACTTTTTTCCCTTTTGAGTTTGCTGGGATTTGCTTATCTTACAGGCTTTTGGATGGAGAGTTCTATTAAACATTTGAAGATTTCCATTGAGATTTGATGCTTTTGAAGGCTTTTGGATGGAGATTTCTATTAAAAATTGGAGATTTCCATTGAGATTTGATGCTTTTGGAGGCTTTTGGATGGAGATTTCTATTAAACACTTGAAGATGTCCCTTTCTTTTCCTTTTGGTTTGCTTTACTTACCTAAGCTCTTTAGTCTTTAAGCTTTCCAAAAGTTTCCAAAAGTCAGTGCACACTTTCTTTACAAAATCCCTTATTCAAAAGTATTGAAAAAACAAAATCATTCAAGCAAAGGGGGTAGTCCAGCAAGCCGCTTTCTGACATTATTTAGGGGGGGGGGGCTAGAATAATGTCTAGAGATTTCAGGCTTAAAACATAGTTTGCTTTAAATAAACGTGTATTCATTCCCTTTATTTTCCTTTTGGTTTGCTGTACCTACCTAAGCTCTTTAGTCTTTAAGCTTTCCAAAAGTTTCCAAAAGTCAGTGCACACGTTCTTTACAAAATCCCTTATTCAAAAGTATTGAAAAAACAAAATCATTCAAGCAAAGGGGGTAGTCCAGCAAGCAGCTTTCTGACATTATTTAGGGGGGCCTCTAGAATAATGTCTAGAGATTTCAGGCTTAAAAAAATATGTTGCTTTAAGTAAACTTGTATTCATTCCCTTTCTTTTCCTTTTGGTTTGCTTTACTTACCCAAGCTTTTTAGTCTTTAAGCTGTCCAAAAGTTTCATTTTGCGGGTCTTTTGGATTCAGATTTCCATTGAAAACTTGGAGAGTTCCATTGAGATTGAATGATTTTGCAGGTCTTTGGATTCAGATTTCCATTGAAGTTTAAAGAGTTAGTTCCATGTCCATTTCTATTTCCATTGATTCCCTTTTACTGTAATATTCCAGATGTCTTCAATCTGAGGTTTCATTGATCCCTTTTCATTTTAAGGCTTTCCAAATGTCTTCAAAGTTAGTTTCTTGATTCCTTTCATTTTAGTATTGCCAGAGTAGCTCCCGAGGTAGCTAGCTAAGGATTCCTTATTTATTTATCAATTGATTGTTTTTCTATCATATTGTTCTGGAGTCTCAATTGTTGAGAAATTGTTGAGGAGGGGGGGGACCCCCGGGGGGGGGGTTATTAATCAAGAGTCAACATTACCTTTGAGGCTCCCACACCAAACAACCACTCGCTCCATTGCTGGTCTCCGGCCGCGCTGGTGGCGCTGGGCTCTCCCGACAGGCCATCCATGTGTATCAAGAACTCGGATTTGAACCGCCGCGAGGCCTTTCCGCGCCGCGCGCGTGACGCGGAGAACGCCTCCCGCCTCACGCAACCGCCGAGCGCCGGAAAAGCCGAGCACCGGAACTGCGGTGTTTTGCGAAACAGAGTCGACGACGGCGGAAGGGGACGCCTGCGGTGTCCCGGTCTGAGCGGCTCGTGAGCGGTTTGGGACGTGAGCGGTCTGGGTCTAGGTTGCCCAGCGCCCGGAAGTGGGGAAACCGCGGCAGGATCCGAATTTGTTTGGCACTCCAAGAATCGACCGGACTCGAGTGCTAGAGTTCTCAGGTCTATTCCCAAACTTGCCAGGGGTGTGGCAGGATCATCATGGAGTATCACGTTTCCAAATTCTTTCGCATCTGTGTCATTGTACACGGCATTGCCTGAAAAAGATTGACAACTTGTGGCAGGAAATATGTAACTTCCCAACATCTGCTTCTTCATCCGTTGGGTTGATGCGTCGCAGCCGTTTCAGTACAACGGGTAGGGAATCATGCAGTATGTTCAAAGGTTCCAACCATGTGACGTATATAACCCATATAGTGGTGTTCGTCTTCACCAACTCTGAGGCGAAACACATCAGTCCTTGCCCCGCACCTCGTGCTCAGCTGGTCCACCACGTTGGGACAACAACCTAGGGCGAAAGCTGGGTCTCTGACCACGTGCTCAAGCGAGCTGCGGGGAAACACCTAAAAAGTCCAAGACATGTCACAGAGTCACTTCGACAATGTATCCTGGGGATTCCTGGGGTCACTATCAAATAAGTCATTTTGATAGGGGACGCCCTGCAGACTCCAAATCATGCGAAACTGCACATGTTTCCCTTTGGTTGGGATGACCGGGTGCCGGGGAATTAAAAAAGCATTGCAGTACCACGGTTCTGCTCGAGATTCCTGCACCTTACCTTTCTGATCTCATGAGGCACAATGACATGTTCCTGGCATCAAACAATGTCAAAATCCTCCATGACAAGCAATGACCAGTGTGAAATCAGCTGCTGGTCATATCTGCTTGTGCTGCTTTGGGCACCAACTGGATGGCCCCACAAAACACGTCCTCGTTCACTTCGAAGGAAGAAGGAAGAAGGCAGGCTGTGTTCATCGTTCAATCGCTGAATCTTTTTAAGCGGAGTGTTCTATCCCAACAAACCCAAACAAAAATCAACCTAGCAGCACTCTCAGATCCCTCCAGAGGCAACTGGCAAGACATCTTCAGACATCTTCAGACCCAAAGGTGACACGGTGAGGGCTTGGTCAACCGCTGTGGCGTTTCCCTTTCAGAAATAGGTTCAGTATCCAGATTCTTTCACAAGTTCATGTATCGAAATGACTCTGCAGACTCCGTCAACAAAGATAACAAAGCTTAAAGGCCTTTGAGCCCTGGGCCTTGGATAGCTTGGGCTTTCTCTCTGGGTCGAGGTAAGCCGACCAGGGCACGAATCGATCTCATCGAAGAAGAGGATCGAAGGGACTCGAGCTCTCGCCTTGTGACGAGATTCGACGGGAGACAAAGTGGTGCAAGAACGACCGTGTAGACCAACACATAGACCAACAGGGGAGGAAGGATCCCGATTTTATTTGGAAGGGCATCTCTCCAAGGTCTCGTTTTACAGGATTTCTTCAATCACAATAGATCCTGGGTCTGCTTTTGGCGATGCAAAAGCCAAACATCGTGAGAGAATGTGAGATGTATATAAAACAGCGGAAAATAATAATCTCACTTCACGTAGAGTCGACTCATTGTGGGAAATCATGGGGAATCCAATCCAAGGAAACATCCAGTCCAATACTGTCCAAACAGTGACCACCGCATGCATCCTGCTGTACCCACGAAACATGTGGAAACGTAGGAATCCCATCAAATCCAATATTCATCCTGGCATCTGAGATCCACCATATCTACCTGCACGTCTGCACTGCAAGGTGCTTCTTGTTAATCAGCGCACCTCCCAAAAAGGTTGAGTTGTCCTCTACCAGCTCAGCAACAACCATCAGCGGCTCTTCTACAAAACTGTAGTCTCAGCGGTTGAATCCTCAAACCCCTTGACTCGAGATGTAAAACGTTGCGTACATTTGGGTACTATAAAAAAATATAAACAATTAAAACCCACCTTTTCCCGCCTCTTTCCACCCCTTCCGGAGACCAGTCATCCATGGTCTAAGCCCCATGCGGCACAGAACCCCTCTGGGTCCAGGTCCCTCTCCGGACCCCCTGGGTGGAGATAGCAGGTCCCCAGACTGCCTGTTGGAGAGTGCTGGGCAGAAGAGTCTGGAAAAAAAAAACACAAAAGTATCCAAAAAAAAGAAACCACATATGACAAGCGTTTCGGAACAACAAATTGAAAAACAAAAAAGACCTATTGGACACCCTCTCTCTTGGCCGCACGACTCTGCCACGTCCGCTCCCACGTGTGCCACGTCCGGTCCCGGACCGGGGTCGGGGTCGGGGTCGGGCGTCCGTCTGGAAGAGCGCCCGGAGGAGCTTCTCGGATTCGCCCCGCCACTTGGAGGTCAGGGTGGCAGAGCTGCAGTTGAAGAAGGTGATGTTCCTGGTGAATCGGGTGGCAGAGCTCTTGAAGCACTTCCAGGTGATCAGTTATAAGGCATTGTAATATTATAGGGGTAAGGAAGTGAAGAAGGATTACAGAAGGGTGACACCGAGACATTGTCACAGACTTTCAGTTGCAGCAAGATCGAGGACGGGGAAACAGCATGAAACAGCAAAGAAAAACTTGACATTCCTCGTGGTAGTGTTTTCAAGGTGACACCATCTGACAGCATGTGTCTCTCCTTGTTTTGGGGTGCCAGGGTGGGAGAAAACCAATGTTGGGTGATGTTCCTCGTCGTTCTCAGGGCTTCACCTCGGGTCACCTCCCAGATCAAACAGGATTCTGAGACGTCCCAGAAAAGCTCTTCAGAATCCGCGTGGCGGAAGGACCGCGGACTCCGTTCAAGGAAGACTGGGTGACCGAGGTCGCGAAGAGGGACGGCACCCACCTCTGAGAACCGGGATCCGTGTGCGAAACGCCACAAACTGCGGCCCACTCAGGTGGTTGGAAGACATCCAAACATGAAACTAGATTGACCAGGTGGTGCAGGACTAGGGTTTTCTAGGAGGTGCAGTTCCATGAAACCCATGATAAACCCATGCCCCGTCCATACGCAGTATAGGTCTTTGCAGTTGGAGTTGGATTTTATAGGTGGTGCAGGACTTCGCGGTCTTCCTTCCAGATACTAGAACAACCCACACGGACATCTCCATCATAAATCCACCTGGACGTGGTCTACTCATCCAAGCGCGGGAAAGAAAAGGTCCCAACCAGCATTGCCTGCGTGAAGCACTAAGAATATCTCTTTCAACCTTCGAGTTTGGTTGACGAGCATGAACTACCTTGCGGATTTCCTTGGAAGGCACTGTGCTTGGAAAAAAATCCTGCGGTTCTCCTGGGTTTTTAAGCTGCCTGCCAAGACTCTCCGTGCAGGACGCCACGGCCTTTGCCAGCATGGTCTTTCCTGGAGCTGCGCATCTTACCTCTCTTCCGTGGAGAACGGGACCGGTAGGACCTGGACCTGTCAACCGATCTGGTCAACCTGAGTACAGTGTGTTTTTTTGGCTCGCAGACTCAATGTCTTGTCGCCGCTTTGGGGGATGGGGGTGAATTGTGATCACCCCACCAATTCGAGCCACTGCGTGCACCAACTTGCCCCCAAACACGCGGAGGAATCGCTGATGGCCTGCTCGGCCTGCTCGGCCGGTCGGGAGCGAGGCCGTGCAAGTCACGGTGCCTCTCCACCAAGCGGCCAGTGCCGGGGGGGCCAAAGAGCAGCACTCCTTTCCAAGGCTTTCCTCGGGCTTTTTCTGGCCAAACGGAGAATCAAAATACATGTTGAAAACATACACTGAACCCTATAGCCTGAAACCCGCATCCCGGAACCATCCTGATCGAGAATTTTGTTGGGAGACACTGAGAAGTTTCCATCATCCAAGAGCCTCTCAACCTTGGAGATATATATATATATATATGTGGGTTCACCTGAAGAATGAGCCCAGTCTGGCCCTACTCCAAGGTCGTAGATCGAATTCAAGCCGAATGACCAACGAAATTCTGATGTTGAGAATCCCATCATCCTGAAAGCACTTGAAAAAGGTGGATCTTCAAAGCAATGGTGGGAGATGCCACATGTGATACCGAAAGCAGCACAACGTACCGGGGACCGTGTCACATCAAATGTACGAAGAAACAGCAAACCAGGCAGGAGTTGTGGGGCGTCAGCCTGGGCATGGGTGTTTGACCATGGAACCAATTGCGGAACGATAGGACCTACAGTGACTATACATAAAGGGACTACAGGGAGACAAACAATCGTGGCTGTAGCAACCAGTCTTGTTTCTGAGATGTCTTTCGAGAACCAGAACTGCTGCAAGAATGCCTCATGTTCCTTGCAGTCTTGCAGCACGTGACACACCAACACAGACTATATATTGTTCTATCATGGTCTATCTTTTTGAAAATGGAAGTGGAACATCGTGGAACAAATCGAATTTGTAGAGACCAAATCTTCCAGGGTCTTCCCATTTGCCATGAGAAATGGTGCTTTCAGGTGTTCACGAAAGCAAATTGTTATAACTCTTAGATTTGAACCTGCCCATCCTGTGAACGCAAAAATCCTGCGGGTACCTGTACCATCCTGTACCCCTCTTGCTATGAATCCTTATCACATCACTGATTTTTGAAGCTGGTGCCAGGTCTCGCAGTCCCACAAAGAATTCCGGCATCAGCAGGGGCAAAATCACCTTGGGGCCGAAGCGGGCCCGCCGCGTCGACGGAGTCCATGTCGAAACGGTGGCCCTTCGTGAGCAGCATGGTCCCGTTCAAGTCTTGAGAAACGATACGACACATACGACGGATTTGGTTGAGTTGGAGATGCGTGCAACCATCTCATTCAATCCCATTCAACTGTCCTTTCATCTTGAGTGCCGGAAATAGGACGACTGGATGAAACATTCCGCTATATTCCGCTCGCCTGTGGCACTGCGGGGCTGTGTTTTTTTTTGTTCATCTGCTCAAACCCTGGGTCGGCCCCTCTTTCGGAGCCCCAACCTTATCGTTGTCGGGTGGCGAAAGCTGACGGACCAACACGAAAAACAAATAAATACACATATAATATATATATATGTATAGTTATATATATACCCTATGCTTCCAGAGACTATACTTAGTATAGGCGATCTGATATATATATATATATATACTTCAAGAACCCTGAAGTTTACGCTTCTTACTCTGTTCCAACATGACACTTGCGGTCTACAGCGGATCGGATTAAC